TGTATGTATGCGTGTATGTAGGTATGTACGGACGTACGTATGCATGCATGCATGCATGCATGTATGTATGTATGTATGTATGTATGTATGTATGTATGTATGTGTGTGTATGTATGCATGAATGTATGTATGTATGCATGTATGTATGTATGTATGTATGCATGTATGTATGTATGTATCAATGTATGTATGTATGTATGTATGTATGCATGTATGTATGTATGTGTATACATCTACTTATATATATATATATATATATACAAGTGGCACGTGTGTGCCCAGGCTCATACAAAAAAATTAAAGGGGCGTTTGAAGCAGGAGTGAAATGCAACATCGAAGTCGCACTCGAGCGCAAGTGGGGTTGCCACACCTTGCGATGTGTGTACCAGGACCCCCCAGGAAGCCTCAGGAGGCCCGACTTGGATACCAGAAGAGGCTCCAGGAGGCCCCAGGATTGTGAGTATTGTGCGTGTGTGTGTGATGTATGCTTTGTGTGGTGCGTGCTTTTTGTGTGTTGTAGGTGTTGTGTGTGTGTGTGTGTGTGTGTGTGTGTGTATGTTTGTCTAGCGTGTGATGTGTTGGGCGTGATTTGTGTCTCTGTGTGCATGTAGTTCTGAAGCCCCAGGAGGCCCCAGGAAGCCCCAGGCGGCCTCAGGAGGCCCCAGGAGACCCCAGGAGGCTTCAGGAGGCCCCAAGAGGCTCCAGGAGGCCGCAGGAGGCCCCAGGAGGTTTCAGGAGACCCTCAGGAGGCTCCGAGGCGGGGGGGGTCTGGGGTGCCAGAAGGTTCAGAAAGCCCCAGGAGGCCCCAGGAGGTTCCAGAAGGCCCCCAGGAGGCTCCGAGGCGGGGTCTGGGGCTCGATTTTGGAAGGATTTTTTAAGCGAAACCGCCATTCCCTGAGAATCGGGGTCACAATTATTGAAATTACCATGTGTTTTTGAAGGTTTTATGTTAACATGTTGAAATTCCCATGTGTTTTTGGACCCTGACGTCACGATCTGCGTGAGGGGTGCCACTGATTTTCAGAATTTCGAGGATGTCCCGAGCGAAACGCCCAGAAAAATCGCGGACGCGTGCGCATTAATCGCCTCTGAGCTCTACTCCCTCGGAGAGGTGCGTATGAGAATATATACATCTCTCTCTCTCTCTCTCTATATATATATATATATACATGTGCTCAACATTCGTCGCCGAGTGGTGGATTTGACGCTCGCCTCGGGCGCCCGCGCGAGCTGGCGACGGGTGCCCAGCGAGCTGGGCGCTGCCGACCATGGCGGCCGTGCCCGCGAGAGTGCTGGCGGGCGCCCTGCATCTCGAACGGCCTGGCGGGGCCCGACGGCTCCGCCCCCGCCGCCTCGCCCCGCGGGGTTCAAGGGCGGGGGCCGTGCCGAGGGCGGCTGTCTCGTGACCCGCGCGGGCCCGCCGGGGCGGCGCCGCTCGGCGGCCGCCGCGGCCAGCGCCGCGGCCCGATCGGGCAGCGACGGCGAGGCGCGGGGCGGCGCCGCGGGGCTCAGCATCTCCGAGGAGCCTCGCGCCCCGGCCCTGCCTGCCGTCAGCGTTGCTGGCGCCCCCGAGCTGTGTCCCTCGGCGCGAGCTGCCCAGGCCCGTGCGCCGCCGCCTGGACTCTCGGGGGAGCAGGCGCGAGATGCCACCCGCCAGCTCTCCAACGTCGCTGACGCGGCTGCTGTCTGTTTGGGGTCGGAGCCGCTGGCAGTGTGCGAAGTTGATGGATCTCTTCCCGACCCGCAGTCGTCTCAGGTCCATCGCGGCCCCTGCCGCTGACCCCCGCTCGGCCTTCGCGAGATTTTGCGACGAGCTTTACCATGGGGGAAAGGTCGCGTCGACGGGCGATAAACTGCTGGCCGCCATCTTCATGCACGTGCCCGACTGCCAGATCAAGGGGGAACTGGCCCTGCCGCGCGCTTGCCGCGTGCTCGGCAGGCGCATGCTGCGCCCCTCAAGGGCGCGGTGTCCTCTGCCCCGGGCGGCTTGGATGGGCGTGGCGAGACGGCTGTGGCATCCTAGCGGCCGGCGCGACCTGGCGGTGTTCTGGCTCTTGATGGTGGGCGCCTACCTGTGGCCTGGTGAGGCCCGCCACCTCGCGCGAGGCCAAGTTTTTCCACCGCTGGCGAAGGCGCCCCAGGTTAGAAGCCCTATGAGCTTTATGAGCTCGCGAGCCCCAGGAGCACCATGAACTCAATGAGCCGAGCCCCATGCCCACCCGACCCTCCATAACAACATGTGAGCGCGATGACCCCTATGAAGCTTATGCGCCCTATGAGCCCTAGACCCCCCTCAGCACTAGGAGCCGTGAAGCCATGCGAGACCCATGAGACCCCCCTCTGAGCCCTGCGAGCCCAGTGAGCCGTATACGGCCTATGGGCCCTATGAGTCCTATGGCCCCGACTTGCCCCTTCACGCCAATCGGCCCCATGAGCCCTACGAGGCCTGCGCGCTCTGTTAGCGCTATGGGCCCTGTGGCCCCCAGGAGCATTGCGAGCTTTATGAGCCCAATGGCCCCCAAAAGCTGATGACTCCAAGGAGCCCCAGGATCCTTATAAGCACCATGAGCCTCCTATGACCCCCAGGACCTCTATGAAAGCCACTCAGCATTATGAGCCCCGTGCCCGATGTGCGCAAACAGTCCCATGACCCCAACGAATCCCATGAGCCCTGTGAGCCCGGTGAGTCTCATGACCCCCTGGAGCCGCATCGGCAGCATTACCCCCGGCTAAAATGGGGGCTCCGAGCCCCTGGGCCCCATGACGGCAGAGACCCTTTCTGAGCTCTTTGAGCCGCAATATTCCCTGGGTCCTATCAGCCCTGTTTGCTCCATGGTCTCCATGGCCAGAACACACCGCGGCTGTGACGACAACCGATCTCATCGCGCCTCCCTGGAGCCGTGCGACCAAGATCTTAAAGGCGAAGCGCAGCGAGCCGGTAACATCTTGTATGTCTATATTTATATATAGTGTCCTCTGGCTAGTGCTGCCGATCCGGGGTGCTACCGATTCTGCTTGCAACGGATGACCTTTTATGTTTGGAAGTAGAGCGCTCGCTCGAGATATCCTCATAAGATAGAGATGTTGAACTCGCTTGAGCAACCTTCGGATACTCGAAAGTGACGATGTCGCGTGAACAGCCAAACTCATGGGGTGTCCCCTCCCGCTTTCCGGGCCTGAATGGCGTCAGCCCCCGCCCACCCCCCGACTCCCCCGTCCCGGGCGTGAATGGCGTCAGCCATGGCGTCGGCCCTCCCCCCCCCCTCTCCTCTCCCGGGCCTGAATGGCGTCAGTCATGGCGTCAGCCCCCTTCTCCCCTCCAGATCTTCCTCCCGGGCCTGAATGGCGTCAGCTATTTTTGTCAGTTCCTTTGCCCGTTCCCCCGACTTTCCTCGGGGCTCCTGTGGCCTGAAAATGGGGGTCAGCCATGCGTTCCCCCCCCCCCCCTCCCCCCCCCCCGCCTCCCTCCCATACGTTCCCTTCCCCCCCACCCCCCCTCCTCCCTCCGGGCCTGCAATGGCGTCAGTCCCCCCCCCCTCCTCTCCCGGGCTGAAATGGGCGGCAGCCCCCCCCCCCCCCCCCGGACAGAGCGCAGCCCCCCTCTCCTCCTCCCTCCCGGCCCCTGAAATGTCGTCAGCTCCTCCTCCCCAACCCCCTCCTCCCTCCCAGCCTGAAATGTGGCGTCAGCCCCCCCACCCCCCACCCCCCCTTTCGACAGAACGGAAAGGCTCCCCCCCCTTTTCCCTCATGGCCTGAATGCGTTTAGCCTCCCCCCCCTCCCCCCCACTCCTCCTTCCCCCGCCTGACTGCGTCATCCCCTGTCACCCCTCCTCCCTCCCGGGCCTGAATGGGCGTCAGCCCCGCCCCCCCCCCCCCTTCCTCCCTCTGGGCCGCTTGTACGCCTTCTCCCTGTCGGTGGCCTCGTGCGCGTGCTCGCGCCGCTCGTGAAGCTGCCGAACTGGCGCCGCTCGTGAAGCTGCCGAACTGCTGCGTCCCGCGGCGCGCTGGCGTTAGTCCCTTCCCCTCCCCCCGACGAGCGAAAGCCCTCCCCCCCTCTTCCTCCCGTGCTTGAATGGCGTCAGCCCCCTCCCCTCCAAGAGCCCCCTCCAACATAGCGACCCCCCCACCCGCCCACCCCCTCCTAATCCCGGGCCTGAATTCGACAGCCCCCCCCCCACCACCATTCCTTTCTTCCCGGCCTGACTGGCGTCAGCCCCCCCCCCCTCCCCCCCCTCCCGGGCCTGAATGGCGTCAGCCCCCCCCCCGTTCCACCCCCCACGGGCCTAGAAGCGTCAGCGCTTCCCCCCCTCTCATCTCCCCCCGTCCCCGGCCTGACTAGCGTCAGCCCCCCCCCCCCCCCCCCCCTTCGACAGAGCGAAACCCTCCTCCCCATCCTCTCCCTCCCGGGTTTGAATGGCGTCAGCCATGGCGCCAGCCCCCCCCCCTCCCCGGCCTGACTGGCGTCAGCCCCCCCCCCCCCCCCTCCTTCTCCCTGGCCTGAATGGCGTCAGGCCCTCTCTTCCCTCCTCCTCGCCTTCCTTTCCGTGCCTGAAATGGCGTCAGCCATGGCCGTCAGTTCCCGTTCCCCCCCCCCCCCCCTTCCCCCGACTTCCCCCCGGCCTGAAATGGCGTGTCCATGCTTCCCCCCCCCCCCCCGCCCCCCCCCTTTTTTTTCCCTTCCTGCCCAAGGGCGTTTCCCCCCCACCCCCCCTCCTCCTTCCTCCGGCCTGAATGGCGTCAGCCCTCTATCCTCTTCTTCTCTCTCCCGGGCCTGAATGGCGTCAGCCCCCCCCCCCCGACAGAGCGAAGCTTGAGCGAGCTCAAGCCCGCGTGCCACGCTCTCAGAAACTCACACGCCGGATCGGCGGATATATGGAGAGATGAGGAGGGAGGGAGGGAGGGAGGGAGGGAGGGAGGGAGAGAAAGAGAGAGAGAGAGAGAGAGTGAGAGAGAGCGTCTGTGAGCGAGAGGGTGTGCCCCCCGGGCATCCAGACGGCCAGGACCACTGCCGCGACCTGCCGGGGCTGGTGTCTCCGCACTTGGCCCTCTGGGCAGATGTGCCCGCAGGGGATCGGGGTATATAGGAGGGGGTAGGGGGGGTGGGGAAGGAGTGATGAGGGCGGGATAGGTAGAGGAGGAGGAGGAAGAAGAGGCAGAGGAGGAGGAGGAGGACCATGGTAAACGAAGGATGGATCAATGAGTCAACGATGCTGTAGCACATCCTCCCGTCACAGGCCCCCTCTCTGCACTAATCCTTGTAGGCGTGTCTTTCCTCTGCGGGACGCTCCCACTTGAAAGACAAGCGCCCCGCGGGCCTGCCATTCGGGTGACGGCTCCGTCCTGGAAAGGACCTGCCCTGAGGAACTTGAAGAGGCGCCCTGCATCGGTGCAGCTGTTGCACAATCTTGCGTTTCAGGAGAGTCTTCCAGGGAGCGCCCCATGTTGAAAAGGAATCGCCCTATGTCATTGTTATTGTTGCAAGGTGTTTTTGCTCCTGGTCGCAATTTTGGAGCAAGTGTCCAGCGATATTCTCATTTTGAGAAGGTGCCGCCCTCCACGGCTGTGACACCACGGCGAGAGCCACATTTTGAAAACGACCTGCTCTCCATCCTTGTTGCTGTCTGGGACTTTACGGCAAATTTACGCGGCGTTGAAGCGAACGCCACATTTTGACAGCGACTCGTCGTTTATGCGTGTAATACGGTCAGAACGCAGTATTTTGAGTGCACGGCGCCCCTCTGGGGACGAACCACTCACTGTCCGCGTATTCAATACGCGTCTCTCCCTCCCGGCCCCATCTTGTATACCTATAAACGGTTGTGCACCATATACGCTTCTATGTTGAACACGAACGTGCACGCCAAACACTTTTACGTTGGCGGTATTTTTACCGTGCCACTTCCCTAGGCATGCGTGTATGGCGCCCTCGTGAGGATGCACTCCATACGAATCCGTTTCTTCTGCTCACCTCTCCACTGCGTCCCCTCCCCCCTTCCACCGAGTGACATGCGCGTGTGGCACCCCTCGGGGAGGTGCATTCTATACGCGTCCTCCTCCTCTTGCTCGCCATTCCACTCCGTCACCTCCTCCGCCCCTCATCCGAATGACAGTGCCCAACCGTCCCCTCTCTCCTTCCTCCTACCGTCCCTTGTCTTCTCCTTCTCCTCCTCTTCCTCCTCCTCCTCCTCCTTCTTCTTCCTCCTCGCTCCCCTCCCACTCGAACGGTACATCCTTTGGTGCCTGCCCTATGTCCTGCCTGAATTATCTTCCTTTGCTGGTTCTGGGCTCAGGTAACAGGCCGTGCATCCGTGCCCGTAGTTGACGCACATTCTATCGCTTCGGCTATCCGTTCGCGCAAGAACATCCAAATTCATCGCACATGTCATCTCTAAATTTGTAGCAGGGCTCTGGCTCCCTTTCACTGCCTTCGCTGCCAGGGCCCGCGTGGCACTCTCGCCTGGTGAGGTGTCGATCACCACGACTCCCACATCTCTTCGTACAGTAAGTCTCTCCAGCAGGCTACCGTCACCCCGGACCGTTTTCGCGGTGCCCTTTCCCGTTATCTTCACAACCGGAGGTCCATTTTACGATAAGTTGTACAAGAACGACTACATCGAGCATTTCGAGGACCGCTGCTCCCAGCCGCCCCCGCCTGCTCTTCAGCGTGGGCGTGCGCAGACTGTGCCTGGGCCACTCGAGGATCCGACTGCCGTCAATGATGAGCAGTTTATCGATACAGCGTTCACGGCAACGGCGCTAACCGAGGGCTTCGAGCGTGTCGCGACTATGTCACGCTCACCCTCGGAAGAACAGTCGGAGAAAAGTGGGCGGTCCTTGGAGGGTCGGGCAATGGACAGCGAAACAGACCTGACACTTTCTGTCTCCGACCTCTTGGAGTCTGACCTATATCCACACCCACGCATTCCCTTCAGTTTGGCAGGACGAGATCCCGATGCGCACTCTTCTCGACGATCGTGCAGTCGGGGGTGTCAAGTACAGTGACGACGCGACGCACGACGAGCATTCTTACAACTATGTCGCGGGGGGCCGAGTGCCGAGAATGCTAAAAACGAAACTGCGGAATCTTAGGCTGAATACGCTGACGAGGAGGAACACGCCCGGGGCGGGTGCCCACGTCGGCTCAGAGTCTCACGGTCGAAGCAGCGCTGTCGGTGGGCCCCCGGCGTCCAGTATCTCTTAGATTTCATTGTGGTGGGACCTCCACTGCGGATGGAAGGCCATCGGAGTTGGCATGCTTGCATCGGCGAGCTGCCTGTCCTGCATGGGCGCTGGCGGCGGCGGCGACGACGCGCGACGCCTCCGCGCCTGGGGGCCCGAGCAGCAATCTCGGGTGCCTTTCCAGCGATGGGTGCGGGAGGTGGTGATCTGGTCAGTGGCGAAATCAGGTCTCAACGAGTTTCGCCAGGCAGCCTTCGTGTCATCGCGACTTACCGGCGTGGCGCGGGACTTCGCGGATAAATGCTCGCCGGTTGTCCTGATCCAAAGAGGTCGCGTCAACGGCGACCCAGTGCCATCAATGAATTTCGCAGTGCGCAGTTCAGCCAGCAGTGAACCCGTTCACGCAGGTCACCGACCAGTTCTACGACGCAGTTGCTTCGATGAAGGCCTTGGGGGAAATGGCGCAGATGGGCATGGCGATGAGCACGCAGTTCCCCCCCCCTCAGGGCGCTGCTCAGAGCGCCGCGGCCCCGCCGGCGAAGGCGCCCGAGACGGCTGCGGAGCCCACGGCGCGGGAGCTCGCCGAGGCCTTGGTGACAGTTGCGAAGCACGGCCAGCCGGTGGCGAAAAGCGGAAGCGTCCAGGACACGAAGCTCGCGCAGCACGTCAAGCGCTTGGCGGAGCTCGCCGGCTTCGGCGGGGCATTGGGGACCGACGCGGAGAAGTTCGAACGCAGCTTGGAGGCCTCGTCTGCCTTCAAACGGCTGCGCAGCCAGGTCGACACGGTGCAGGAGGACGTGGCCAGCCAGAAGGAGAAGCTCCACAAGATTGAGACCGTGGTGCAGGAGTCCGGGGCAGACATCCGGGACGTGAAGAGCATGCTCGTTCGACTGGCGGGAGGGCCCGCCCCCGCAGGGGCAGCAGCAGCGGCGGCGCAGCCACCGCCGGGGCCTGGGCTGGGCGGGCCAACGGCCCTTTTCCAGCCGCTCGTCACGCCCGAGGTCCACGACGCGGCTATGCCAAAGCTTGGCTTCTCGCCGAACCGCCGCGAGATGGTGGACCTGCGGACCGAGGTAGCAGCGGGGCCAATGCCTTTCCGGCAATGGGCGGACACCGTCCAGCGCCTCAAGTCCGTCGACCAGTGGCGCCAGAAGGTGAACGCCACCACCGCCGGCAGCGTGGGCGCCTTGCAGTGGGCAAAGGAGCAGGTCCTGGACGGCTTCTACGAGCACGTCGACAACCAGGGTGTGTGGCACGCTGGGAGGCTTCAGGTTCACCCCTGAAGTTCCAGCGGTGTGGCGCGCGCACCCCGGAAGACGTTTGGGGGTGCGCTGATGCGAGCGTGTTCGTTTTTGGTGAATTCTTCTACGGTGTGTTATGCCGCGGTGTACTACATCGCTCTGTTGGCGTTGCCGTACATCGGCATGTTCTGCTCCGTCGTAGAGAATGGCGTGCAAGCCGCTGTGCTGGCTGGACTCGCGGTGTTCGCACGCCCAGAGGAAACGCCGAATTCAATGTTGGAGGTTGGGGTATCATCGCCTTCACAGGACACGCCAACGGCAGTGGAGGAGAATCAGCGTTACGACGCAGATCCCGCCATCGATCAGCGTTACGACGCGGGTCCCGCCACCGATCAGCGTTACTACGCGGATCCCGCCACCGAGCACCCGGGGCCCGGGAAGGCAAGCCCACTGCCAGACCAGATGGAGATTGGCCAGGCGTGGAGGGCGCAGCAGACGGACCGCGGGGCACGTTGCCAGAGCACCACCGCATTTTGCCGCCAGGGTCGATGGCAGGCGGCGTCGATGTGCCAGATGGCGGGCACTATGACGAGGTTATGGGCATTGTCCGCGAGATGTTCCACCATTCTGCTCACGCGCTCGCCTTTGGCAGCGCGGCGCCTGCGCAATTGGCGCACCCCGCGGCGATCATCGCTGTCCTGGCTTGCAGGCGGTTGGTCAGGGGAGTCCGCCAGCCGCTCACAGGGTGAAGCTGCTCGTGTGCATGGTTTGTGGGGAGGCTTAGTGGCGGCCCGGCCGCAGTCGGACCGGATGCGCTTGCCCTGCGGAGCCTACGTCGAGATCCCCCAACCCTGTTGCACGACCACGGGAGGTGAATTCAGCATCGAGGGAAGACGCTCCCCAGGGTTCGATGGGGGCTATCTGATGGTGGTCTTAGTCGGTTTGCCATGTATTGTATTGTAATGCTCGTTTCTATTTCGTTTCAAAGTGAAAGATCTCCATCCTTTGAGCTGCTCATAGAATGTAGCATGCAAGAGCTGAAACGGAGAGATTTGCTGCATAGGTCGTGGCGCCAGGGAGGGTAGGCGCAACGTGACCTCTGCACGAACATTGTTCTGTTTTGTGCACTGCAGGAACCATGAGTAGAGTGTAGCATGCACGAGCTGAAACGGACAACAGGGGAACCGTTGTATAGAGCAGCCGCCGCCGCCGTCGCTGCCGCCGTCGCCGCCGTCATTGGCTCTAGAGGTGCTGTGAGCCTTAGGCCGGTGCTTAAGCCGGGAGACCGGCGCGCATTCGAATGGGGTGATCAGCATCGTGGAAAATATTAGGAAAGGAGTCCTGTCTGCAGTACTCCTGGCCTTCTTCCTCATCTTCTGCAGGGAGGGATGAGGGGGGGAGGGAGGAAGGAGGGAGG